GGAATGTGGAAACTCTGGCCCCAGAAGATGTGGGCACAGATGCAGAGACAAATGTTTCACTGGGGATGACATTTTATGGATTTGTTTTCAGTAAATGAACACTCTGCAAGAGGAAACCAGCAGAGTTGTTCTGATCCCATCAGCGACAGCTCTGAGCAGGAAAAGATGATATTTAATGTGAGGCTTGTTTATGTCCCTCTCTGAATTCTAGACGTATCACACATTCTTTAATCCATAGGTGCACACAAAAACTCCTGACATCAACAATAAGCCATGATTAAAGCTTTCCAAAATGAAAGCTGCAGATTACCTACCCGTAAATCTTGTTCTTCCCCAGCGGAATGCTTCACAAAGCTCACAACAACCAGTGCAGAGCAAGCTGAGGAATGTCCTGATCTTAAGCCACAGCATCAGCAATCCCACTATTGCTATCAATAATTTTGGATATATAAATCCAATAGCCAGTATCTCCTTTGAAAGCCACCCAAAATTACTTCTATTTGTATGCGTTAAGTTGTACATGGATACAACTCATTGCTTTCCCTCAATAACCTTTACCAGAGAGTGAAGTTATTCACACTAGTGACACTGGCTATTTGCAGAGTCAGGTTTTCATTTAAGTTTTGAATGTCTTGGCCAATTTCCCATTTTCAAGTGTTTCCAGAATCAACAACAACAAAAAAATCCTGTTAGTGCAGAGAAAATGTCAAGCAGAATATTTCAGAGCCAGCAACTTTCAAAGGGGAAAAGGAACCTGGTCTTTGAAAGGACAAAACCACTGTAAGCAGTGAAGGACACCAGCAGCATTTCTAAAATCACTGTGGTGACACCTCTGTTTAAAGACTTCTGGAAAATCCTGCTGTGTTATTTCATAGAATCACAGAATGGTTTGGGTTGGAAAGGACCTTAAGATCATCTCATTCCAACCTCCAATTTCATTGCTACTTTATGTTATTTGTGCTAGAGATTTTTGTTTTGAAGTTCACATCATTTGCACTCCATGGAAAGAAGCTGCAGTAGCACATCACCATTAGTATGTCATTGAAGGGAAGTCCTTTGTGCATGAGATCAGAGCTGGGACTCTGCACCAGGGTCATAGTCTGTTTCGTGAGAGAAGGGGCATCCTGACTTGTGGATATCCTACATGGATGGCACTTGGATAAGACATGCCAACTTTACCAAGTTTACAAGGGTTTCTTGTGAAAGTCACTCATCCACAGCTAATGCATAAAGAGAAGCATGAGAAAGCCGTGCCTGCTCACCACCAGAGCAGTTCTCTCACAGGCACTGCCTGCTCAGATGCACTAATTTATGAACTGAAGAACAAAATAGCCTCCATTCATATTCCTGAAGACTGACTTTCAGATAGCAATCAGTGCGTCACTGACAGAGCCACACTTCAGTGTTCTGGAGGCCATTACCACATCAATGGCGGGGAAGTGGTCTTTCTTCTCTCTCAACAAAGCTCTGTCAATGTGGCCTCCTGGGGCATGTTCACACTACCTAGCTTCAGCTTTGTGAATCAGGAGACTCAGCTTCCCAGCCTCCAGATGCAATCAGCTCTCCCAAAAGGCAATTCAGAAGAGTCTAACTTAAGATATTACTTGAAACAATCAAGGCAAAGGCAACTCTTAAAGCGAACTTGTCACTGTACTGGGGATCCTCACAAGGAGCTTTTTGTTCCTGGGCAATGTGAACACAGCCGTGAGCTTGTGATGAGTGGCCAGGACAATATTGTGTAATGAGATACATTGACTCTGGTTTTCTCTCTGCAGCTCACTCAATCTTGCCAACACAATTTCTCGTTTAGAAGTGCAGGCACCGCTGCCAAAGGGCAGCCAGAAGACAAAAGATGTGTGGCTTGTGTGTTAAACATTGCCCGGCCAACTGCACATCCAGCTGTGTTCCACCAGCAGCATGAGGGGAGTGATGGCTCCCCTCTCTTCTGCACTTGCGAGACCATGCCTGGACATAGGGCCTAAGTCTTGGTACCTCAGTGTAAAAGAGATGCTGAAAATAGGTGCTGGAGCCCCAGACACAAGAGTAACATGGAACTGCTCAAGCAAGTCCAGAGGAGGCCATGAAGATGCTCCAAGGGCTGGAGCAGCTCGGCTCTGGAGCCAGGCTGAGAGAGCTGGGCTGGGTCAGCCTAGGGAAGGCTAAATTGGGGAATATGGGGGATTATGATCACTCTCTTAAATTTTATCATGGAGGCTGTGGAACCAGGTAGGGCCCTGCAACACCTTGTGTGACTGAGTTGGCCCTACTCTGAGCAGGAGGGCAGAGAAGAGACCTCCACTTGCTCCTTCAAGCTGAAGTTGAGCCTCTGATTCTGGAACCAGCACTGCTGTGCACTCCTCAGCACCGAGACTCATCCCCACACAGACAGGCGGTTTCTTGCAGTGACTGCTGCTTTCAAGTTCCAAGCACCTCCTGGGCAAAGAACACCCAAGATCTCATCTACTCGGAATACAGGATGGTCCTGATCGTGCTCAAGAATGCTACACAGAGATCCAAACACTTCCTGCAGTGGGAGTCCTTCCAAACTTCTGTCAGGCAGCCCCTGAGGGAAGTAATTCATCTTCATTAGATGAAGTCATCCCGTCTCCAAAATCTGCTCATAGTGCCACGGATGAGAGAAGGTGTATACAGCAGAGGTAAAGAACAAACTCTGCTTCCAAAGCAGGCTGAGATGTTTTCCTAAACACAGCATTGAACATCCTTCATACAGCCTTCCCCCCATGCACAGAGCTACGTAACAGATAGATACACTGTCTGCTGGCAATGGCTCCACTTCACAGCACATGACACTTCCTACTGCAGAGGTGAAAAGCCCTGCACATAGTACCTGACTTCAGTGAATCTGACATGATCGTTACTGCGTCCGGC